GTGCACATTGCAAGGATGGTTCCTAAAAGGATTCATGTCTTTCATAATTTGACATCTATTGATGTTAGAGAATGTGGTAGCTTAAGGAACTTATTCTCACCTTCAATGGCCAATTCGCTCGTGGCTCTAGAAAGTCTATGGGTTTGCAAATGTGAAGCGTTGGTAGAAATCGTTGGAATAGAAGAAGGCACCTTAGATGTTGAAATGGACACGGAAGGAATGGCAAGTAGTAGAATCGTGTTCCCTAAATTGAGCAGTCTAGAACTTTTCTCTCTCGGTAGGTTCAGAATGTTTTGCTCTCAAAACTATGAACTCGTGTTCCCTTCACTACATAAATTGGTCATTGAAGATTGCCCCGCGATGTCAAGATTGTGTTCAGGACAGCTAAATGCACCAAAGCTCAAATATACTGTGAACAATTTGTTTGCTGATGCAGGTATGTATTTCTTCTCAATTCCCATCGTACGTCGTCTATTATGATCATATGTTGTTGTAATTGCTTGCACATTTGTATGAATAATTAATTCTCAAATTAATAAGCTTTGTTTCTCAGATGCAGAAGATGAGGAATGAACTGTAGTGGATAATTAAATTCCTTTGGAATGGCATTTGTGTTGAATTAAAATCGAGAGACTGAGAACTGAGAAGTGCATCTGCCCCGTGAAGTTTTAGCTCTGATAGAATTCTTTCTTATCATAAAGAATCTGTTTGAATATTACTCATTTCATAACTGTTTAAATTCATACTGGAATTCATATGTAATAAACATTCCTGCTCTTCGTTTTCAAAAATCTCAAAATATCGTCTTTGTCGAATATATTTTTTTTCTAACTTGCTAATGCGTCTGGTTCTTATATTTCATCGACAATAGATAGTTTCTTTTTTTCCCCCGTAAAATCATTATAGCTTTTCAATCCTTCCAATGGACTGTTAGAATGGATGTCTATACTCCCTATTATTTTCAAGCTTTCTATGGATTTTTTCTTTTTTTTTTTCGAGTCAAAGATACATACATAAAATTCTTATGGCAAAAAATTAATGTAGCTGATTTTATACTATCCAAGAAAGAAGACGATATTTTCTCTAAAAAAATGAGCTCGATCTATCAGCAGAAATGCATAATGAGGTAAAAAGAAACTTATTGATTCATGAATTAAGCACACTAGCCAAGTAGTTTTCTACAAAACAAGTTCTCTGTGCGTTAAATTAGAACTAAACAAACTGCGATAAATACATATGAAGAGGTGCGAAGGGCAGATATTCTATCCATGAGTCTTAAAACCAAGAAAAAGCACTGCACAACGAGGAATATGATAATCAAGCAATTTGGCTTCACAACTACAGTTCGGCTCCACCAACACTAGTCTACATTCGACAAATGATCTTCTTCATAAATAGTAGACACAATTACCATTATTAGAAACATTACTACCTCTAAAATATCATACCAATTTTCATAAAGAATACACTTAAAACAGAAAACCAAATTTTTCGGTGAAGACCAACAAATCAGATAAAAGATGATACATGTATTTTAAGTTGTAAACTAGGGACTAACCACAAGTTCCACCAATTCAGCAGTAGTCTCAGTTTTGGAAAATTTACATAATTTGATGCTACACATTGAAGTTTCTCATTAACAACACGTTGCTTGAGAACAGATGAGGATTCTGTAATAACCTACTTAACATTCATGAATAAGGTCCAAATTAACATGACAAAGCCAAGTGAAATACATTTTTTCGCTTATGTTCCTTTCTTATGGTGATATAATGTTACAACTGAAATTAATGTGGAAAACAGATGTGGAATTGAAAGCTTATATATCTGATGTGTTATGGACCGATTACGTCAACAAGACCACAGATCGGTCCTCCAATTATGCTTGATACAAAAACAAGCAAAGTCAAGAGGTAATGAGAAGAGGAATCAAGCATGAGACAAGAATGCTGTCATTAAGCCAATCAGTCCTGGCAACCTTCACGTGTACAGTGAATGGGAGAACTCACCTAGCACATTTAGTCCTTGCCCCTTTAAAAATCATCTTGAGCATTTCACTTATGCTGAATTGAAGTTAATTCTAGTTAGAAAAAAATATGCAAGAATCCTCTTTCAAGGCATACTACTGTAGAAATACAACAAACATACTATATATATCTTTAATTGCTTCAAGTCTGTTTTAACTTGGCCATTATAGTGAGTTCCGCCAATCCCTCTCAGGGTTTGAATTGGCTGAGCTCACTTGTTGATTAAGTGATTATTGCTTGATAAGCTATCTAATGGGAGCAAATTCTCACAGTTGACATGAATATCCATAGCCATTTTTGTCATAAATATATGATAACTGATGAAAAAGGACAAGCCAAGTTAAGTTTTTCGAAACAAGTGTTTCAAGTTTCATGATTTCCTCATCAAAATTTAAATGCTTATGAGCTTATCGACGAAGCTAGAAGTTGTTGTTTCATTGAAATAGGATCAAAATTTAATTATTTTAGTGTACAACAACTCCTACCATTTCAAATCCACACAGTTAAGGATATTAAATGTTCACTACATCTGCCCTGCAGCTAACATACTAATATTTTACATCCTTACAATTATTAAATGCAGTCATTTGTTGGAAAACTTACATTCAAATGCAAACTTTACATAACTGCTTATATTGCAATGAAGAAGCCTTTAAAATTTAAGTTACCCGTCCAATGTGTGCAGAGATCTTCATTTTCTACCCAAAAAACTCCTTTCTTTTCAAATGGTAACAGAAATTGATAACGAGAACCATTATTTCATTCAATTGAATGATACCACATTATAAATTCCTCCAAATGGACTACCATTCTGGTTTACCACCAAAACCAAAAATTCTTGATAAGTTGTAGAACACTGACAAATTATCCCATTTAATTAAGTTCATAAGTAGTTATGTAATCTCATCCGTAGAGTAAAAAAAAAATTGCATCTTTTAACTGCATACACATAAGATGGATGAAAGGAGCAAAATTCCAATTTCTATCATCATTTCCTTGCTACAAGTAATTGCTGAATTTATTATGAATTCAATCTGACAAATAAAGAAAACAAAAAGATTATTGCAAACTTATAAGCCAAGATTTTAGTATGGTCAAGTGAATAAATTCACCTACATCCACTTTTGAGCTCAAGGTGGGACTCGTACTGCACTAGAACATGATAAAGTTTACAATGCGTTATGGGTACAAAAAAAGGACATCCATGGAAACCAAATTAAAACCACTAACCAAGGTATGTCCCCAAGGATTTCTTTTCCCACTCCAAGAACTCTCACAGCAAAATGCACTCAATTTGGCTAACTACTTACCCTGTAATTATTTATTTATTTTTATGTTTTACATTTTTTTTTTTTTTTCTCAACGAATTTTTGAAAGCTATGTTCCGATC